TCATATCTAATTCACGCAATCTGCATTTATTTATAAGTCTCAATCACTTTGCAAAAAAAAACTGAAATGGGTGCATGCATATATCGGAGCATCTAATTTTTTTCCAGATTCATATGCTACTATTGTTCTGCCAGTTGCACTGAACAGGTGACAACATGTGTGAGACGTTCCACTGTTGTAGATATCTTTCAAAGTCCCGCGTCTTAGAGCTTGCATGTGGATTGCTATGGTTAGCCATGCTTGCAGGCACTCAGAGACTTGTTAGGGTCAAGATGAAATTCCTCCTTTATCCTCTGCCTTTGAATTCGCTGTGTGGCAATCACACATGACCACCACATACCATGGCTAATGTTTTCTATTTTGTAGAGACGGGGTGGGCAGGTGTCACTTCCTTGCTTCAGGCTTTCGGTCTCGAACTTCCATTGGCCTCAAGCGCGAAGGTTTCCTGCGCGCCATCCTTGGATCTTTCTGGCAGTTATGGGGCATCAATATACAGTGGAATTCTGTGCCACTGTTAGCCAGTTCCACTCCCCGCTGTGACTTTCCTCGAGTTGCAATGGACTCTTTGTAGGCATGTCTAATTGGTGTCATTAGGTCGCATGTGGAATAACTAGTTCTATTATAACCATGTTTTAAGATCAGATAAAATTCTGAAGCCTCTTTAGCATTAGGGCTAATGACATGGTTCAGCAAAAACTTAACCAGCAACTCGTGCCTGACGCTCGCGACAATACATCCTGGCAGGCTTAATCTTTCTGTTCGCGGGTCTAGTCGCTTTGTATCCTCCGTAAAATGCCAGATGGACATACAAGATAAGGTATCCCGGTGATCGAAATAGTCATGCTAGGTCCTCAACTGTACTGCCCACTTCCTGGAACCCTTCTTTTTCTCTTGGTTTCCTGGAGTCTAGTGGAAGGCTCTCATCTTACAAGATTAGAATTGGTGGTAGTAACCATAGTGTATAGAATATTTATCCCCCTCACAGATATCTGAAAGTCCAAATCCAAAATGCTCAACAGTAGCATTTTCCACTTCTGTACTGTCTGGATGTTGGTAAATTGGACAGTTTCAATTTTTGGAGCCTCGACTCAAGGCTATCTCCCAGCTTACTAAGGGTATTTCATTCTAGTATGAACGCACCCTATGATCGCTATGTCGGAAGGTGTTTAAGCAATGTCTCCAGTGAGCACTCACACCTTGCTCAACGGCACTTATAAACCGGTAGCAGGCTTAGTGGGGCTAGTCAAAGAACGTTACGAGAATTCCTGTTACCCACTATCAAAATATTCAATGGATAGTTATTTCCTGAAATCTGTGTTTTTCCTATCCTAATGCGATCCGGTCCCTCCTCCTTCTTAGTTATTAATGATGTCCAGCAAGAAAATTATGCGATTCGCATCAGCACAGAGACAACAGCCTGTCGAGTTCAAGACACACTCTTGGGCAACACAGAAGACGATTTTCACCTGGAGATTCACTGCTTGGACAAAGCTCCTCTTCCTGCCTTGTCTTGTTTTCCCCAACGCATTCGAGGACCAAAAGATCCTGTAAGGAATGGACAAATGGTGTCCCCTGTTATGGCGTATACCATGTTTGAGTATTGAAGGTTCATGATCTTAAGAGAAGGAATCCGGAATTGATGTGGAGAAGACGAAAATACTTCCGCTCTCTTTCTTTCTCTGGTATGCTCTTTGATGACTGCATGCAGTTTCTAAATTCATCTTGTGCCCAGATGAGCTAAGAAAGTGGGCATTGGTCACGCTTAGCTCTAGCCAACAACTCAAATTCCAGGGCCAAGCAATCTACTGCTCAGCCTGTGCCGAAAGGAGGATTAGAGACTCAGGCAGCGGACCACCAATGTCCCCTGGCTCATTTTTCACATATGAATAAGTTTTTTAAGTTGTCATAAGTTATCCTCTTCCTTCCTTTTAGAGTATATGGAAGGGGCGTTCGTGCTCAGGCTATACACGATAATAATGGTTCGCCATCCTGTTATAACTTTCATACTGTCTAGATTCAGTGATGACCACCGCTCTCCCAGAGTGCTAGAGTTTTCATAGGGGGAGTCGGCGTCTCTCAAGACATGATAGATTATGATAGACGGGTGAGCATGCCACAGTCCTGCTGGGGTGCCTGGCTCTTCTATATCATCTGAGAAGGCTAGCACAGAAATGCTAGTACAGATGTGATTCATGAACTGAGCACAACATAATGCGAACCAAAAGTAAATCGCTATGCGGCGACGCAAAGTGGGTATGAAAAGGGAGCTCGTAGTAGTCATGGACGGAATATGGTAAACCAGCTTTACTGTGCTGGGATATGGTCTTCTTTTGCTTCTTTATATTGTGCAGAATGTGACGGCTTCTCTTAGTACAAAGGCTTGTTTTTTTTTTGAGACAGAGTTCACTCGTTGCCGGCTACAGTGCCTGGCATCAGGCCTAGCTCCGCACCTCAACTCCTGGGGTCAAGCATCTTCTGCTCAGCCTCCCAAGGAGCTAGGACTACAGACATGTGTCACCATGCCGGCTAATTTTTTCTAATATTTTTTAGTTGGCAATAATTTCTTTCTCTTTTTAGTAGAGATGGGGGTCTCGGCTCTGCTCAGGTTGGTTTCGACTTCTACTCTTGGAGCGTCTGCCCACCTTGGCCTCCCAGGAGTGCTAGGTTACAGGCGTGAAGCCACCGTGCCCGGCTATTACACAACTCTTATCTCCCACTAGATTGCCAGGCCCATCGCTCAGTAAATTTTTGTTGATAAATGTTTGGGTGATGAAGTATTCTGGGACTTGTGCTTATAAGGATGTGGATATTGGTAGTAGAATCCTCATAGAGCACAATGGATATTTTTGGGACAGTCATTGCTGTGGTCCGAAACTGATAAGATATTAATATTCCTTTCATGTAAACAAGGATGACTGCATTCATAAACTCTGTTTCTACGCGAGTGATAAGTGTAATTAGCTATTTTCTTAAACAGATTCCTTTTAATAATAGAGGACCAGACGGAAAGAAAGTGACTAAATAGCATATACAAGAGAGATGGACACTGAAGTTCAGACAAGAGTTGATAACCAGTTGTCAGGCTATAGTTAAATAACAAAAATCATGCCCGCCTCGGCCTCCCAGAGTGCTAAGATTAAAGGTGTGAGCCACCGCGCCCGGCCTCTATGTCTGTTTTTAAGCATAAGCAGCTTTAAGATTGCTGATGAAACTTTAAATCCAAGAAACAGAATAAAAACCATGCACTGTGATTTTAAACTTAATATAAATTTACCCTATAATAGAAACCTAACACATTCTTCCATGAATCATACTGAGAGGGAATAAAAATGGATAGATCTATAACTTTTTAGAAGATCAACATTTAGACTAATCTCCAAAGCCTTTCTTCTTCAGTATCTTCACGTAATCTGCTGTATATTGACAAAGAATCTGCTGGTAGCTTTGAGACTATGGAGGAACCTCCTGTGCTAAATTCCTCCTATAGCCAGAATTTAAATGTCTCTTATCTTAGAGCTCTATTGTTAAACACTGATTCCTCTTCTGCTGCTATAAAACTCATTAAACAATTTAAGTGCCTCCAACTTTTGATTTGTTTTGTGGGAAACTTCCTTAATACCAGGTCTCTGCTGCATCTAACTGAAGTTGTAATATATTTTTAGTGCCCAATATGGTAAACAAGGCCCCAATTGTTCACTACCTCCAACCAGACTCAGTGATACTAACTTGAGTATTTAGTATTTAGTTAACACAATTAAATAAAATGCAGAAGTACATACACCTAAGATGTAGTCACTAATTATACACATTATGTGGTTGTCTACTTCACTACTCATTATAAGCTGAACCAATTCTAGACAGCCTTATGGCCCCAAATTTTCCTGTCACAAATGTTTGCCCTGGCTCAATCCAAAACTCTTTTTTATCTGAAATAAATGAATAAAGATCACCACAAAAACTGACTCCCAACCATAGTTCGTACCTTTTTTTTTTTTTTGAGACAGTCTTATTCGGGGGGCCCTGGCTAGAGTGCAGTGGCATTATGATAGCTCATTGCAACCTCGAACGCCTGGGCTCAAGTGATCCTCCTGCCTCAGCCTCCTGGGTAGCTGGGACTACAGGTGCACACCACCACGCCCAGCTAATATTTTCTGTTTTTGGTAGAGATGAAGTCTCATTCTTGCTTAGGCTGGTCTTGAACTCCTGAGCTCAAGTGATCCTCCTGCCTTAGCCTCCCAGAGTGCTAGGATTACAGGCGTGAGCCATTGCACCTGGCCTAGTTTGTACCTTTTTCAGAGACGTTCCCAGGAGAGTTTTTAAATATATTTATGTAAATTTGTAACATTTATGGCAAAAAAGATCAATATATAATTAAGCACTAAAATGCTAGAATCAAGTAAATTTTGAATCCTTAATAGGTTATCTGTCAATGTTTTTCAAAATATGATAAGACTACCTTTATGAGAAGGCCTTGGATATTGGTCAAGGTTCTTGAGCTGCATCCTAGACTAATTCAGAAACTCTAAGGGGGGCCCAGAAATGTGTTTTTTAAATAAGCTTCTCAAAGGTGATTTTTATGTTTCCTATTAAGGATTATTAGTCTAGGCCGGGCGCGGTGGCTCATGCCTGTAATCCTAGCACTCTGGGAGGCCAAGGTGGGCAGATCGCTCAAGGTCAGGAGTTTGAGACCAGCCTGAGCAAAAGCAAGACCCCGCCTCTACTAAAAATAGAAAGAAATTAATTGGACAACTAAAAATATATAGAAAAAATTAGCCGGGCATGGTGGCACATGCCTGTAGTCCCAGCTACTTGGGAGGCTGAGGCAGTAGGATCACTTGAGCCCAGGAGTTTGTAGTTGCTGTGAGCTACGCTGACGCCATGGCACTCTAGCCTGGGCAACAGAGTGAGACTGTCTCAAAAAAAAAAAAGAATTATTAGTCTAGCTCCTAAAGTAACATGAATCTTATGAATTCCAGTTATCTGTGCTATTTCATACTTACAGTCTATACCCTGATCTTGGCCAGCCAGTCTGCAAATGTTTGCTGAGTAAGAAGATGAATGATTTGATATAAATCTGGGTCCAGTGCTAGAAAAAACACACAGTATTGTCCTGCAGTGGGTCAGGAATCATCTTCACATAAAAAGGCAGTATATTAGTTTTTACTTCCTCTTAGAACCTTTCTGAGGGGGCTAATCTATCTGTAGATGAATTACACTAGAAAAAATACATCAAATCTACTGTGTATATGGAGGTAGACAGGTGCTAGGATAAAGCAAACCAGAGCAGGAGGTCCAGAAATTCCTTGTTCCAGCACATTGTTTATAACATGGTCAAATCACTTAACGTTTCTGGAACTAAATAACTCTAGATGACCTCCTTGATTTCAAAGGTATTTTTCAGCTCCAAAATACTGATTCTGGAGCAAGATTTGTTTTCAAAAATACTATTTTGAGATGGGGACAAGAGATGAAATATGGAGCTGAAATCATGGTAAATTCATCTTTAATCTACTTAATAGCTTCTTTACAATTAATATTCATCGCAGGTCTGAACCAATTATTCAGCAAAAAGCAGCATGAGATCACCTTCTAACATCTCTCCAGCTCCTTTGGGGTAGGTAAAAAGGGCTTTCCGTGGTGGGGCAAGGTCTGAGACACTGAAACCAGATCCAGTGACAGAACTTCCACTGACCCCACCAGCTGAGGAGGATGATGAAGAGGCAGCCATTTCCTTGCTAGCAGAATTCTTACTTCACTACAGAGAAAGAAAAACAGCAAATTGGCAAGTTTATGGAAGTGAGATTGACAACATTTCATTCTAGCTGCCATAGGGCCAGCATACAGTTTCGTAAAGAATTAGCTTTCCTTTTTCCTACCCTCTCTACTCCCACAATCTTTTATTGATACCTCATGACAAAATGTTGCTCAGGTTTTGAAGTGAAAATGTTTTAAGAATAGTATGTCTGCTTAATACACTAATTCCTACCATTAGCAAACTGTTTACGTTGCTTGGGGATTGACTGTGGGTGATTTATGTGTTATGAAGAGGTGATATGACAGTGCCAAGGCAGAAATGAAGAATTAACTGAGGAATTTGACTGAGAAATTAAATTATATGAGGATGAAACAACCATACTCCACAGGACAGTGTGTCTTGGAGACATTCTGACCAAGCCATATCGAAAAATTCACTTTTAATATTTTCCAAATAAAATTCCAGAATAACACTGTGTTCTGTTTCCAAGGAAGGGAAACTGGTTAGGAAATACATTAAAATTAACCTTTTCATCCAAATGTAATACCCAAGTTTATCACTTGGTGGCGTCCCCAAACTGGAACAAAATAGCTCAGGAAATGATCTTGGAAATCTTGGCCTATTATGAATAGAGCAGCTGTGAGTGTTTAATCCTGTGTCATATCAAAAAATTCAAATGTAAATGAGAAAATCTGTACTGAATACATGACTCCTTACAAAAGTTCAAAACAAAAACACTCTCTTTGCCACAGAAGCTTACAGCACTTTAACAAAAGATTCTAAGCAGTGTACACAGCATTTTCTATAAACAACAACAAAAAAAACGGTCTAGTGCTATGCTAATAGACCTTTCTGACATGATGCATATGTTCCAAATATCTATTTCTGCACTGTCCAACATGGTAGCCAGTATCCTCATATTGTAGCTATAAATGTGACTGAAGAACTGTATTTCAAATTTTATTTAATGTTCATTAAAATTTAAATGGCCACATGTGGCTAGTGGTTACTGTACTGGATAGTAAAATTCTAGTGTTAGGTTAAAAAATGACTTTACATTGACTTGTACTTTAAAATGGCTTAATTTTATTTTATTATTTATTTACAGACAGGGTCTCTATTGCTCAGGCTGGAGTGCAGTGGCCCAATCATAGCTCACTGTAACCTTGAATTCCTGGGCTCAAATGATCCACCTCAGCCTCCCAAGTAGCTGGGATTACAGGTGTGTGCCACCACACCCAGCTATTTTTAACAATTTTCTGTAGAGACAAGGGCTCAATATGTTGCCCAGGCTGGTCTTGAAGTGATCCTCCTGCCTTGGCCTCCCAAAGTTCTGGGATTACAGGCATGAGCCACCATGCCTGGCTAAAATGGCTAAAGTTTAATTTTATGTTATGTCAATTTTAGCCCATATTAAAAACAAAACAAGACTTTAAAAGGATTTTAAAAATGAATTTCCCAGCCTGGGCAACACAGCAAGACATCGTCTCTACAAAAAATTAAAAAATTAGCTAGGCGTGGTGGCTCGCACCAGTAGTCCTAGCTACTCAGGAGGCTGAGGTGGGAGGATTGCTTGAGCCCAGGAGTTTGAGGTTGCAGTGAGCTAAGACTGGGCCATTGCACTCTAGCCTGGATGACAGAGTAAGACCTTAAGACCCTGTTTTTTTTTTTTTTATTTTTTTTTGAGACAGAGTCTCGCTTTGTTGTCCAGGCTAGAGTGAGTGCCGTGGCGTCAGGCTAGCTCACAGCAACCTCAAACTCCTGGGCTCCAGCGATCCTCCTGCCTCAGCCTCCCGAGTAGCTGGGACTACAGGCATGCGCCACCATGCCCGGCTAATTTTTTATATACATATCAGCTGGCCAATTAATTTCTTTCTATTTATAGTAGAGACGGGGTCTCGCTCTTGCTCAGGCTGGTTTTGAACTCCTGACCTTGAGCAATCCGCCCGCCTCGGCCTCCCAGAGAGCTAGGATTACAGGCGTGAGCCACCACGCCCGGCCTAGACCCTGTTTTTTTTTTAAAAAAAATCCTATGTATGTATAATACAGTTTCCTAGTAAGGAAAATGATATGTCTTGAAATGCTGGTTGTTGTTTCCTTAATTTTGTGGTGATGATTTAAGACTGACAGAGAAGCAAAACTTGATTTCTGATTTCATTATATATCTATAAGTAATACTAATTAATGCTGAAGTAGGATATGAGAACAGTAAGGTAACTATTATAATTAGACTGTCAGCCTATTAAAATTCAAACTGATTAATATTTTCAATCTTGCTATTAGATCACCTGTTCTATTTTATATAAGCTCTGATAATTTCCCAAAGTGTATTCATATCCGCAGCAGCAAGAATTTTCACGTTTGATTCATACTCAATCTTTTGGACTATACTGGGTCAAAATACAGCTTGACAAGTTTTAAAATGTGCTCTAAAAAGAACTTAAGCAGTAAGGGATCAGGTCCAAATCTCTAAGTAGACTCCTGGTGGGATTCAAATAAAGTATACAGATAACTTAGCCATCTTTAGGAGAGTAGCTGTCTTTATTTCCCATCAGTTCAGAGTAGAACCCAGTGTGAACTGTTTACATATCTCATCTATGATTTAAAACTTTAATCTATTTTTTCTATGCCCTGATAAATGCTCTATTGAGTTGCAAATGCTTTATACTTTATATTTTGAAATCAGTTGCTCAGTAGAGCACCCATGCAACTGCCAGAGGACAGCTTCAAAAGCTTAGCCACAGTATGACTTCTATACTGAATATAATCAAAGGAATTCCTTTTTATCCTATTTTCTTTCAAATTCTCAGAACTACTATCATTCCATACACAAAACAGCCAGGATTGAAACTGGAGTGCAGAATTAGCACAAAGCTAACTTTAAATAAGCAGTTTTCAGCTAAGGTAGAAAGATACACCTAAATAATTACTAACTTTAAAGATGTAGGTTAAATTTTGAATGCTATTAGCAAGTTGTAAACAAGAGTTACAACAAAACCAATAATAAATGCTACATTGTAACTGCTGAGGGCGGGCATTAACTAATCACTAGAACCAAACATAATGTCTGGTCTATAGTAAGTAGCTGCCTGCTGAATGAATTAAACATTTCACAGGAACCAGAGATTCCTTAAAGGTCATCTAATCCAACATCCTCATTTTATATAGGACAAAACAAAACTGAGGCATAGAGACAATTTTAGTTTATGTGCTGTGACCTTTTTTCCCCCCTAGAAACAGAGTCTCACTGTGTCGCCTGGGCTAGAGTGCAGTGGCATCATTGTAGCTCACTGCAACCTCAAACTTGTGGGCTCAAGTGATTCTCCTACCTCTGCCTCTTGAGTTGCTGGGACTACACCCACATGCCACCACACCCAGCTAATTTTTCTATTTTTTGTAGAGACGGGGTCTCACTCTTGCTCAGGCTGGTCTCGAACTTCCGGCCTCAGGCAATCCTCCCACCTCAGCCTCCAAAAGTGCTAGGATTACAGGTGTAGGCCACTGTGCCCAGCCTGCTGTGACATTTTTGAAGCAATGGCTTGTTGGCATGTCATGTGTCATGTGCAAGGCAAAACAGCATAATGCTTAAGAACTCAGATTCTGAAGCCTCTTTGCTTGGGCTCATGTCCTGGTTTTGCTACTTACGACTTGCTGCATGACTCTGGACAAATCACTTAACTTTCTGTTCCTCTGTTGTCTTATCTGTAAAATGGGAATACAGGTTAGGTATCCCTTATCCAAAATGCTAGGACCAGAAGTGTTTCATATTTTGTTTTTGGATTTTGGAATATTTGTATTATATTTAATATAAATATTACCCCTCCCAGATCTGAAAATCCAAAATCCAAAATGCTCCAAAGAGCATTTCCATTGACTGTCATGTTGGTATTTGAAAAGTTTCAAATTTTGGAGCATTAAGGATTTCCAGTTTAGGGATTCTCAATCTGTAATAACAGCACCTACCTCATGGAGGTGTTATAAAGATTAGTTGATACATGTAAAGCACTTATAAAGTTGCAGGCTTAGTAAACACTTACTAAATCTTACCCTATCCAAAAATCATTAATGGATGGTTATTCCTGAATCTTTTTTTTTCTTCCTATGCAGATCCCAGTTTTTCATACTTCTTATGTCCCAACAAGGGAAAAGTTCTAATTCTTTCCATCTAACACAGAGACAACAAGCTCCTACAGGGAAAAGATCTGCTCAGGAAGAGGGAAAATGCCCTCTGTTATGCGCTTCACACTTTGATTTTAAGGTTCATGATCTTAAGAGAGAAACCTATGATCTTGGAAAGAGGGAAGGAATTGTTCTTCTATCCTTTTTTTTCTTTGAGACAGAGTCTCACTCTGTTGCCCGGGCTAGAGTGCCATGGTGTCAGCTAGCTCACAACAACCTCAAATTCCCAGGCTCAAGCAATCCTACTGCCTCAGCCTTCCAAGGAGCTAGGACTACAGGCATGCGCCACCATGCCTGGCTAATTTTTTCCATATATTTTTAGTTGTCCAATTAATTTCTTTCTATTTTTAGTAGAGAAGGGGTCTTGCTCTTGCTCAGGCTGGTTTTGAACTCCTGACTAGAGTGATGCACCCACCTCGTCCTCCCAGAGTGCTAGGATTATAGCCGTGAGCCCTCCCAGAGTGCTAGGATTATAGCCGTGAGCCACCACACCCGGTCTGCTCTTCTATCCTCAAGGCCTAGCACAGAATCTAGGTCACAGAGTTTCTGGGATGAATGAATGACGAACAAAGATAGAACACAGGGCTAGCAGCTCAGCAAAGTTTATGAGAACAGAGGAGCCTGATGTCATGAAGGTTGGCCCATTATGGTCTTCTTTTTCTTTCTCATTGTGCAGATCTATTTACACAACTCTTTTTTTTTTTTTTGAGACAGAGTCTCACTCTGTTGCCCGGGCTACAGTGCCCTGGCATCAGCCTAGCTCCCAGCAACCTCAAACTCCTGGGCTCAAGCAATCCTTCTGCCTCAGCCTCCCAAGGAGCTAGGACTACAGACATGTGTCACCATGCCCGGCTAATTTTTTCTATATATTTTTAGTTGGCCAATTAATTTCTTTCTCTTTTTAGTAGAGATGGGGGTCTCGCTCTTGCTCAGGTTGGTTTCGAACTTCTAACCTTGAGCGATCTGCCCACCTTGGCCTCCCAGAGTGCTAGGATTACAGGCGTGAGCCACCGTGCCCGGCCTATTTACACAACTCTTATCTCCCACTAGATTGCCAGGCCCATCGCTCAGTAAAATTTTGTTGAATAAATGTTGGTGATGAAGTATTCTGGGACTTGGCTCTATAAGGGATGCTGGGATTATTGGTAGTAGAGATCCTCATAGAGCAGCAATGATATTTTGGGGACACAGATTGCTGTGTCCAAACTGATAAGATGATTAAATATTCCTTTCATGTAAGACAAGGATGACTGCATTCATAAACTCCTTTCTAGCGGATATATGCCTATTTTCTTAAACAGAGTCCTTTTAAAAAAAAGTCTCATAAAAAAGTGGACACTGAAGTTCCTACCCCAGTATAAGGGCAAGTTATAACAAGCAATCATTAAATTCCATCATCAACAAATCTTTCCACTTAAAAACAGCTGGATTACATGGCCAGCCATGGTGGTTCATGGCTGTAATCCTAGCACTCAGGGAGGCCAAGGCAGGAGGATCACTTGAAGTCAGGAGTTCGAGACCAGCCTGAACAAAAGCGAGATCCCATCTCTACTAAAAAAATTTTTTTAAAGTTAAAAAAAACCTCAAACAGCTGGATTACAATCCAAATCAAACGCATGCTGAAGCTAAAACCTAGCAGGAGCTGGGATGGAGAGAAAGTGGTTGCAGAGGGGAGGGGCCAGAACACAAGCTGCTCCCAAACTAACTCCAAGCCACGCTTCCCACGGGCCTCAGTCCTAAGGAAACGACGCCATAGGCGCCGTCCCACTGCGCAGGCGCCACTCCTCGGCCCGCATGCGCACTCAGCCCTCCGCGGCCTGAGGAAATTTCCTTTTACACGCCTGCTGCAGCAGTCTCTTGGGTCTCCTCCCTTCTCCATTTTCCTAGTCCCTGCAGGTAGGATCCCAGGGGTCAGCTCTCTTTCCACCAAGCACCTGAAGGTCCTTAAACTCTCGGCTACTTACCTCAGCGGCTTTGGCACTTTCCCTTACAGCCCCGCCCCCAACGCCAGCCGGAGCGGCCGCGCTCACTACGACGAGGACCGTAGCGTGCTCGCGCCCGCGATGCGGGGGGCCCGCGACAGCGGTGGCGCGCGCGCGCTCGTGCTTTGGTGGGTGTGGCCGGGGCGGAGAAGGCGCTCCGGGAAAGGACTTCCGGGTCCTTAACCCTCTCTGGCTTCCTTGGCTTGCCCACTGTCCTGGGGTCCATCTCTTCTTCCCTCGCTTTGGCGTACTCGCCTTTTGGCTCGCTTTTACGATTCAGGGATTCAGTTTCCCTCATGACATTGCAGAAGGATACTGCTTTCCTCTTCCTCTCCAAAGCACCGCGAGTCAGGGTTAAGTTGGTTATTCCCCTTCCTTCTGAGCAGTCTGATAGACCAGGCCATATAGGAAAGGTAGATGCTACCTTTTCTTCCGGAGCTCATGGTCTGAGGATCTGAACTTAACGTTAAATAAAGTGTGACTTTTTTTGTGTGCTTGCTTCGGGAGCACATACACTAAAATTGGAACGATACAGAGAAGATTAGTATGGCCCCTGCGCAATGATGACACGCAAATGCGTGAAGTGTTCAAATTAAATACATTTTTTAAAAAATTAAAATCTTTTTTTTTTTGTTTGTTTGTTTTTTGCTTTTTGAGACAGAGGTTTGCTGTGTTTCCCGGGCTACAGTGCAGTGGCGTCAGCCTAGCTCACAGCAACTTCAAACTCCTGGGCTTAAGGGATCCTCCTGCCTCAGCCTCCAGAGTAGCTGGGACTACAGGTGCACCACAACGGCCAGCTAATTTTTTCTGTTTTTGATAGAGACGGGGTCTCACTCTTGCTCAGGCTGGTCTCTTGAGCTCAAGTGATCTTCCAGCCTCAGCCTCCCAGAGTGCTAGGATTACTTACGGGGGTGAGTCACTGTGCCCAGCCTAAAGTCTGTTTATGTGGGGAACTTTTTTTTTTTTTTTGAGAAGTCTTAGGGGAATAGGCCGCTAAGCTATACTGTCTTTAAACTATTGCTAATTATGTCCCCTTTTCCTCCATCCAAGTCGATTATCCCTATGTTGTTATTTCTCACAACATAAAACATTTTCTTGGTTCTGTAAGCAGACAAACTATCAATTAAAGTGATTTATTTGCTGAGCGCTGGACTGAGCATTAGTGTATTAGTGAGGGTCAATCCATTATCTTTGGAAATTGTCAGTATTTTGTGCTTTGAGACTATCCAAACTGTATGTGATAAGAACATTGGTTGAACTTTTTTTTTTTTTTTAAAGTGATCAAACTCACCAGACATTGGTTGAACTTAATCACAGCTATAAGGAACCTTTGTTTCCTAAATTATTGATTTTATTAAGAAGCTTGGTTTCTCAGCGAGTGATGCATAGTGTTTTGGGCAGTGGTCTGTAGAAATGGGGCTCCTCACCTCAGCAATATGTTGGTCGGAAAACCACATTGGGTGTCATATTTTCACTGTGCTTTTGACAGGCAACTGGATCTGATTGTTTGGTATATATTTCTAGCAACTCTAAAATTACTTAGGGAATTTTTTTTCCTTTTTTTTTTGATGGTTAGGTGTATTAAATATCCCTTGTTATTTTAATTATCATGCTAAAATGAGATTGCAAATGGTTAGGTAAACACTGAAGGCTGCATTTTATTCCCTTTAGAGTAATAAAGAGACCTTTATTCTCTCTTTCAAAGTCAGGGGAAGGCTGTATATAAATGCCTCTTAATCACCTGTTTTGGGGTGAGAAATAGTTTACAAATTACTTTTCTCTCTGGAGTGGGCCAGTTTGATGGAAAATGTAGCAACTGACTTTAACCAGTTTATGGGCAGGGGAAATCCAATGGAATTCAGTTCTTCTTTTGTGTAAGAAGTACTGTGAACTGGTTCCCAATTCATGCCTATGTAATGGCTCATGCAATAGAGATAGGGTTTTTAATTCTCATTAAAAAGATAATTTATTTTTCAGGACTTTACTGGAATATTATTTGGAGAAAGTGTCATGGAAGTCTTGCGTCCACAGCTTGTAAGAATTGATGGTCGCAATTACAGGAAGAATCCCATCCAAGAACAGACTTACCAACATGAAGAAGAAGATGAGGATTTCTATCAAGGTAATTGTAGTTGCTCTTTGGTCAGTAAAATGTCCTGTGTGTTGCAGGAGCAATTCTTTGTTTTGTTTCAATGTGTTTCTGTGTCAGCACAGAAATTTGAGATTTTTGGTTCGCACGGCTTTGTTTGTGTTGATGTCTCAGGGTACTGAAGAGTTTGAGTTTGACTGAGGTGTTCTCAGTTGTAGTTCATAAGTCAGATTATGTTTCTTCTTTGTACAGAGGCTTAAATGTCACAAGGGGTAATTTGTTTACTATTAATGTTAACCATTAATATATTGTGACAAAATTAAGTTCCTTTATATATAAAGTTATGAAGTAATATATAAAAATTGTTGAAATAAATGAACGTATGTATTTAGTCCAGTGCTACTGAAATCCTTGGATGCTCTCATGTGCCTTATATGAAATGGTTCGGTATTTGCATGTAACCTGTGTACATCCTCCCATATATTTTCAATCATCTCTAGATTACTTAACAATACTTAATACAATGTGTTATGTAAATAATTGTTATACTGTGTTTTTTTTTTAATTTGTCCTATGTTTTGCTGTATTAAAACAATTTTTTTTTCCCAAATATTTTCTGTTTATGGCTGGTTGAATCCATAGATATGGAACCCTTGGATATGGAGGGCCAACTCCACATACATATCTATGATAAAGCTTAATTTATAAATTATACATAATAAGAGATTAACAACAATGACTAATAATAGAACAATTATAACAATACACTGTAATCAAAGTTATGTGAATGTGGTCTTTCTCTCTCGGTATCTTATTGTATATAATATTTTTGAACTGCAGCTGACAGTGGTTAAGTTTAACCCTACCTTGGAAAGTGAAACTCCAGGTAAAGGGTGGACTACTGTGTGTATCTGCTACTTTCCCAAGGTTCTGGGACTAAAAAGTTTCGAATAGTCATTGTGTGTTTTTTATGCTTTATTTCTTCTGAGTTGGTCAGGAGGAATGTTTGAGCAGTGTTCTGCAATGTAAAGTGTCAGGCTGTTCTTTGTGCTTGTGTATTGCTTTTTAAAAATCCCAACAGTGGTTGGCTGGTTGACAGCTGAGGAGAAGCCTGCTGTCCACAGAGCAGCAGCATTACTGAGCAAGATGTCACCATTTCTCTGTAGGTTCCATGGAGGCTACTGATGAGCCATGTGATGCCTACGAGATGGAGCAGACCCCTCAAGGATTCCGGTCTATCGTGAAGGCACCTAGCCTGCTCTACAAGTGAGTGAGGTCTCCAGCAGCGCTGTGGGGAGATATTTCCAGGAAACTTAGCGGGAAGCTGACCCTTTAGTGTTCTTATTGCAATGCTTAATTACTAATGATAAAATAGTTTAGTGTTTTATATCCTAAAATTTCAAAGGACTGAATACAGATTAATTTAATCATTCCACATGTATCACCAAGTGCTGTTGATTTTGCCTCTTAAATATCTTTGAATCCACTGCTTATCTCTGTCTTCATTGCTACCCCTCTGCCTTTTCTGTGGATTCCTCAAAACAGCCTACTCACTGTTCTCTCCACATTGGTTTTTGCTCTCTTCCCAGTCTGTTCTTCACATTGAGGATGGAATGATCTTTTTAAAAGGCAAATCTGATTATTTTACTATCTCTGCTTAAAATCCATCAATGGCCTTCCATTGATGATAGAATGCTGTACTATTAGAGAAATGACCAAAGTCTTAAACACGGCTTAGCTGGCCCTGGATTTTTCAATCTCAGCTCAGCACTTACACCCAACTGGTTTTCTTCAGTTCCTCAACAGTTCCTTCTTCTTGTCTTAGAGATTTTGCATATGCTGGTTTTTGTGGGTTTTTTTTGCCTTAGCATCATTCCACTTCATTACATAGTAATATTCTTCTTCCTTACAGAAGCTTGCTTTGACACCATCATCCCCACTAACCACATTGATTGCTCTACTGTATGTTTCCATAACACACACTACTTTTTCTTTGTGGTGTTTATCACAGTTTATGTTTATATTTGTTTATGTGCTATTTGATGACTCCTGTCCTAGATGGGAAGCTTCTTGAAAGCAGGCATGTGTCTGTTCCATTAATCCCTAATGGTTATCAAAGACTAAACATTCTTGGTCTAGGGCCATCTTTATAAATTAGTTGGAAACTGTGATCACATCAATATGTGTTTGCTTACTTGTGTGTTTGCCCACATTCTGTCTCATATTAACCACTAATATTATGGAATATTGTCAGCTTATGTGGCTAACTGGCTTCTTTGAGGCTTATACCTCTGAACAAGGCTGGTCTAGAAAGTCCATATATTGTTTTTTTGTGTTATTCCAGATGAATCAGGTCTGTCCAAACACAATCTACAAATGTGGAATCATCCGCCTTTAAGCTCTGTCTTTGTGTTGGTTTAGGTTGGGCAATTTATAAAGACAAGATGTTTATTTGGCTCATGGTTCTACAGGCTGTACAAGAATCATGGCACTCAGCTTCTGGTGAGGGCCTCATGCTGCTTCCACTCAAGGTGGAAAGTGAAAGGGAGCCACATGCAGAGATCACATGGTGAGAGAGGAAGCATGGCAAGGGGAGTTGTTAGGCTCTTTTTAACCACCAGCTCTCTCAGCAGCTCTCTCAGGAACTAATAGTGTGAGAACTCACTCATTACCATGAGAACGGAACCAAGCTATTCATGACAATCTGCCCCCATGACCTAAACACCTCCCACTGTGCCCTCCCCTCTAGCATTGGGCATCAGATTTTTTTTTTTTTTTTGAGACAGAGTCTCGCTTTGTTGCCCAGGCTAGAGTGAGTGCCATGGCATCAGCCTCGCTCACAGCAACCTCAAACTCCTGGGCTTAAGCGATCCTCCTGCCTCAGCCTCCCAAGTAGCTGGGACTACAGGCATGCACCACCATGCCCGGCTAGTTTTTTCTATATATATTAGTTGGCCAGTTAATTTCTTTCTACTTATAGTAGAGATGGGGTCTCACTCTTGTTCAGGCTGGTCTCGAACTCCTGACCTCGAGGAATCCGCCCGCCTCGGCCTCCCAGAGTGCTAGGATTACAGGCTTGAGCCACCGCACCCGGCCTGGGCATCAGATTTTAATATGAGACTTGAAGGGGTCAAATATCCAAACCATAGCAAACTCCAGGAGGCAAACTTTGATAACATTCTGAAACACCCATTACGAATGAAATTCTCTTGGAATGTGGGCCAATCAGGGTCTAGTGACATTTTTTTCCCAAACCTGATTTTAGAAAGTTGTGGCTCAGTTTCTTGGTAAGGTCAATCTAACATGTCTTAATGTGTATTTCTGTTGCTGCTAAGGTGTGTAAAAATTCCTTACATGTCTAATTCTAAATTGATCTTTTGTTGTTGTTTTTTTTTTTTGAGACAGAGTCTCAATCTGTTCCCTGGGCTAGAGTGCCGTAGCATCAGCCTAGCTCACAGCAACCTCAAACTCCTGGGCTCAAACAATCCTACTGCCTCAGCCTCCCAAGTAGCTGGGACTATAGGCATGCACCACCATGTCCGGCTAATTTTTTTCTATATGTTTTTAGTTGTCCAATTAATTTCTTTCTATTTTTAGTAGAGACGGGGTCTTGCTCTTGCTCAGGCTGGTTTTGAATTCCTGACCTTGAGCAATCCGCCCACCTTGGCCTCCCAGAGTGCTAGGATTACAGGCATGAGCCACTGCACCTGGCCTAAATTGATCTTTTGATTTCTATATACTTTCAGTACTCATTATGAACCAGATGACTTGCATGTTAGATTAAATATTGGTTCTACTAAATCTTTTTTTTTTTTTTTTTTTTGAGACAGAGTCTCACTTTGTTGCCAGGCTAGAGTGAGTGCGTGGCATCAGCGTAGCTCACAGCAACCTCAAACTCCTGGGCTCAAGTGATCCTCCTGCCTCAGCCTCCCGAGTAGCTGGGACTACAGGCATGCACCACCATGCCTGGCTAATTTTTTCTATGTATAGTAGTTGGCCAATTAATTTCTTTTTTATTTATAGTAGAGACGAGGTCTTGCTCTTGCTCAGGCTGGTTTCGAACTCCTGACCTTGAGCAATCTGCCCGCCTCGGCCTCCCAGAGTGCTAGGATTACAGGGGTGAGCCACCATGCCCGGCCTGGTTCTACTAAATTTTAATTAATAGATAATGTTTACTAGGAAGATATCTTTCTTATAAATCATTTTTGTAGGTTTATTTGGATCAAGGAAGAAATTACCGGGCTAGACTAATTTATAATCAAAGTCTAATACTAGCAACACTTATCCATGGAATATGTCTAATGCTGTGTGATTCTCAGTCTCAGGTGTACATTAGAATCACCTGGGGAGCTTTTAAAAATTCTCATGCCTGGGTGCACACCAGACCAATTAATCTCTCTGAGCGGGACCCAGGCATCATTAGTTTTGAAGCCCCTCAGGTAATTCCAGTGGTTAGCCAAGACTGAGAACCACTTGATCTGGTGGGAATTTCCACTTACATATTTAACCAAGGAGCTACCTTTTCACTGCTTATCTGTATTATTATAGTGAATATTTTAGGCTTTCCATGTAAACCTCTTTTGAGTTTAACTGTACTTTTAACTGGAAGGATGCCATTATGGACTTAATGAGGGTAGTGTGGACTGTAAGGAGTTCTGTGCCATTCATTGGGAAGCTCTTTCTTGTATGATCACATTTAATCCTTGTAACAACCTTACAGTACATAGGTATTATTCACTACATTTTTCTAAGTGAAGAAGTAGGCTTAGAGTGACTAAACTGACTTGCTCAAGGGTTGATTTTAAAGCCTCTTTAACCACAACCACTTCTCTTTCTAAGGCCCTGAAGCCTCGATTATTAATTAATAACACTTTGAGTCAACTACTTTTTGTGATAGGCTTGTTCACTCACCACATACCAACAAACGGGGGCCTGATTGAAAACACCCCTAATTAGGAGTTAAGGCAGAGAAAGACAAAGGCCTGATAGTGTTGGTGAGATACAATCTCCAGCCCAACACAGATAGTAACCACATGGAAATTATAGAGTTCCTTTTCTGAACATCTTGTTTATTAAAAACTGGCTTACTACAATAGATCTTAATGGAAATAATTTGGCTTGGTTATCCCATGTAAAAAACAAATGAATAGTTTTAGAAATAGTCACCCATAGTATTGGGTACTGTAATTGAAATCATGGAAGTTGAAGTAATGTTTATGATGGGGAGCTTTTTATTTTAATTTTATAGTCCTCTGATGGTCTCTTAGTGCTTTATAGACTCTGAAACTTCTCTCTTGGGATCCAGTAGTCTCATTTACTTTAACACATCTAATTACTATGGGTTCCAGAAGATAACCTTGGATTGTCAAAATTATTTATATTAGAAAGTACAGGCAACATAGTGTAAATGAGTCAATAAGTGATTGATGTGGGGTTAGATCAAAGACTATAGGAAGTGATGGAATTGTGATGAGCTAATGTCCCATCTTCAGGGGATAGTCCAGAGTTGGCTTCAGCCTGTTGCTATGAGTTGTCAGATCTTCTAATTTTTCTTAAGAATCTGCAAAAATATATATTTTTGGATGTAATCTCCAAAGAAAACATTCCATGTGCTGAATTCAGCCTGAGGGTTACCTTTTTACTTCCAGTGCTTTTGGATCTGACCTGAGTGGTGAATTCTGCTCTTTGCTAAACTGTTTATCCTTGTTTAATTAATCAGGGATAATCCCCTTAGGGTGAACTCATAATATAGTTAACGTGTTTTCCAAAATGATTAAGGTTCTTTCCCTCTCAAATTGTGGATCCATTGGTTGCTAGAAGTGCCCTCTGAGACTATGCCAGCTTTGCTTTCACTGAACTGTAGACCTGGATTTTGAATCTAATTTTAAGGAGCAAACAGGTGTTGGGCATGGTTATTCTGTCTGTACACTGAATTCGCTACATGGCATCCTTTTGCCAGTGAGTTTAATGCAACATGTTCTGTGAAGTTAGATGACTTGTAGTTTCCTCCACAAATATTGAGCTTTTATGGAAGCACTTTTCTGTAAGGGAGTATCTCTGGCCATAAAGGACTTAAACATGATGGGATTCTTTATTTTGGTACATTATTTCTTAATCCCCTTCTGTTAATTAATTTTTCTCCCTATTATAGGCATATAGTTGGAAAGAGAGGGGACACTAAGAAGAAAATAGAAATGGAGACTAAAACTTCTATTAGCATTCCTAAACCTGGACAAGATGGAGAAATTGGTGAGACTCAGTATGTGTGTTACATTTGCAATCACTTGTGCATATGTATGGAATAATTTAACGCTATTGCAGCATTTAATGATATGTTCTCTCTATGGGGTTCTGTAGCTGTTACCCTTTTAATGATATATCAATACCAGTCTCCCAAATGAGGAAAGATGGAGTTATACAACCTTATCTTGATTGAGTACCTGGGTCTTAATTTTATACTTTACCATGCATTGATAGAATAAAGCTTCCAGTTTCATTGTGTATTAGAGGAGATTTCTTTTATGCTTTGGTAGCTTGAAATGGAGTTTGTAAATTGTTTCAAGTTAGAATTAGAGAAAGCCAATGAGATCTGTGAATATAATATAAAGTTCAGTGTTTTCCATTAAGTGTTTTCTTAAGCTTTTTACCCTTGCTTTGTAGACCAGGAAGGAAATTGTTTAATATAAGAGTAATGATTAAAATAATATAACCTGACTCAAATAACTATTCAGATGAGGAAAAATAGTTTGGCAGTATAAATCAAGTCAGAAAGTATCTGTACCAAGCATCAATGTGAACCAGGACACACTGTACTTTGGCTTTGAGTGAGAGGTACTGTAGGAACAAAATTGTAAACTCATTTTAGACTGATGGGACTTTTTCAAAGTCAAAGAATGCAGCAGTCTCCAATAATCCATTTTTTATAAACACCCATTGAATATATTGAGTTTTAGCAGAAAAAAATTACAAGTACCTTTCTCATTTTGTGCTATATTAGATAATCACCTTGATGATTAAGTCATAGTTGACTTTAGAGCAGTGCTATCAAAAAGAACTTTCTGTGGTTGTGAGAATGTTTTTTATCTGTGCCATCCATTACAGGAGCCACATGTGTCCAGTACTGGCCTCATGTTCTATGAGAACTTGAAATATGGCTAGTGTGACTGAGAAACTGATTTTTAAAATTTTATTAAATTATAATTAATTTAACTAGCTGCATGTGGGCTCCCGTATTGGCCAGTACTGTGCTAGAGTTTTCCCCATCAAACTCTAGCAGAAGAACTTTAACAACATTTTCAAAGGACTGTTATTAAAATAAATATTTAGTTCATTAGAATTATAAGTGTAAAAACTTGGGTTTTTCCTTAAGCTTTAGTTCAGGTTACAAATATTGATATAATTTTTTAATTGCATTAAAGCTTTTCTATCTAGTTTCTTTTTTTTTTGAGACAGAGTCTCACTTTGTTGCCCAGGCTAGAGTGAGTGTCGTGGCGTCAGCCTAGCTCACAGCAACCTCAAACTCCTGGGCTCAAGCAATCCTGCTGCCTCAGCCTCCCGAGTAGCTGGGACTACAGGCATGCGCCACCATGCCCGGCTAATTTTATATATATATTAGTTGGCCAATTAATTTCTTTCTATTTATAGTAGAGACGGGGTCTCGCTCTTGCTCAGGCTGGTTTCGAACTCCTGACCTCGAGCAATCCGCCCACCTCAGCCTCCCAGAGTGCTAGGATTACAGGCGTGAGCCACCGCACCCGGCTTCTATCTAGTTTTTTCTTATTATAAAACTAATACATGCTTTCAAAAAACGTGAAAGCTTGCAGGAATTATATGTAAGATACAAAGGAAGTCTCTTGTAATATGAATCCCAGACATAATCACTATTAATGGTTACTATAGTTCCCATTTTTTTCTATATGTGTAGTAACATATATAATAATCTTTACTGCAGTAAAAATTATAACATAGTATAAATGTGGAGACTATAGCCATTTTAAGATACTGGAGTTATTCCAAAACTTATCAAGAAAAGGGTAGGCAGGTTGTAAAGATTCTATTTTGACGTAGAAAGCTCAAATGTTACAGTGTGAAAAACTAGTGTGTCTGATTGTTAAAAGTAAGAATTTAATGGAGCTAATTTAATTGAAAAGCAAGAGGATAAACAGGGGTTGGTCTTCTAGGAAAGTAAAGTATTTAGAAAAAGCAAATTTATTGGTTATAATAAACTGAGTTGTCATGTGAAGTCAAGACTGCAGTTGCATTGGTATGATATTTGCCATCATTTACTCATTTTCTTCTGCCTCTCCTAGATGAGAGAAACTAGAGAAGGAAATGATCTAGTAGGATTTAATTGGTCTTCTAGATAAGGATCTGGTCTTGTGTGTTTTGAAATCTCAGGCAATGGGATACCAGAAGCTTTTAAAATGATGTTGTCACTGTGGTTAGGGAGTTGGTTTATAAAAAATTTAATATGAATGCCTTTAATTGTTATTATTTTTTAATAGAGTCTTGCTCTGTCATACAGGCTGGAGTGCAGTGGCCCAATCATACCTCACTGCATGGTTGAACTTCTGGGCTCAAGCAATCCTCCCGCCTCAGCTCCCAAGTAGCTGGGACTGCAGGTGCAGGCCACCACCACGAACAGTTGATTTTTCTTGCTTTGTTGCCCAGGCTGGTCTTGAACTCTTGGCCTCAAGTGGTCCTCCAGCCTCTGCTGCCCAAAGTGTTAGGATTACAGGCGTGAGCCCCTGCGCCTGGCCTATTTTCCTTCTCTATGTTTCTTGTTGTAGTCCTTAGACCCATGCCACATAAATTCTGGTACTCTCAGGTACTTGTATTTGTAGAATATATCTAACCTCATATTTGCTCTTTAGTCATGGTTGATCAACTTTGACTCTTGCCTGGAAATCATTGTCTCTTGGCATCTTTCAAATGTCACTTTCAGTTTTCTATATTACAAAAATGAAAACATCTTACTAATCTTATTCTCTACCAAACCACCTTAAGGAAAAAGAGCAGATTTTGCATTTTGTACCAAACTTTTATAGAAATGAAATATAAACATGAGTTTTAAGGTTCCCTTTCCCCCCCATCATTTAGTTTCTCACCCTATTTTTGGTCTGTGGCAGAGATAATTATAGTTTTTACTTTCCTTTAATTTTGTTCTAGTTTACCTTTGAACCTTTCTTTGTTAGTATTTCTCTAGCACAATATTTGAGTGTCTGCTACAGATAGTTCCCTTCACTGGGCATTTGAGTCTTTTGGATTCTCATAGTGTATTCTATCTGATAATATAAATAATGTCATTTAAAAAACACTATCTCCATGTTTCCTTTTTTTTTACATTTTATGGTAGTTACTTATGTTAATTTTATGCTTTGACAAACAATTCTCAGGCTTCTTAATAATCCATTCATAATTTACTTCTTTTCCTAGAAATTTCTATTTTGTTTCTCTAAAACATAATGAATATAATACTTTCATTCTTATTAATAAATAGAAAGGTCATTCTTATAGAACATTTCAACTGCTTTCATGGAAAGTGTTAGGACAAGTAAATGGAATTATTTCTTCTACTTCTACAGTTGCCTGGAAAGAACAGGCTTTGTGGTCTTTAAAACATAGCATATTTTACTACCACTATAGTTGGTACTTCAATATTTTATTTCATGTTCAGAGGTCTGTCTTTTTCCCTTTAATAAATATTCTGTTGAAATGCCAATTTTGTTAATTGTGCATATCTTCTCCACCTTCTCTTAATTACTGTTTTGAAGCAAGCCCTGTCAGTTATAGAACCGAGAAGTTTAATCTCTGCTTAAACAGAGATTATGTAATCCCTAAATGATTTTTTCTTTCTTTGCAGACAGTTATCTAGGCTTTGTGGCATTTTTCCCACTGCTTTCATTTATTTACACGTAAAGACATAGTACAGACTAAAACATGGAAATGTATATAGATACATTTGGTATCTATAAATACAATTTATGTGTAGATAAACATTTTTATTTTAACTTTCTATTTTTGTACACAGAGGATAGGATTATATTGTAGTAGATTCTCCTTTGCTCTTTTGCTAAAGTAAATCACTAACAATTTTTGCCAAAGTATTTTTTTAATTTAGGTAAAATTCACATAAAAGAAAGTTCTATTTGTTTGCCCTTAATTTGTTGTTAATTGTATTTTTCTTTTTTTTTATTGTGGTAAAATACACATGACATAAAATTTACCATTTGATTTTTTTTTTTTTTTTTTTTTGAGACAGAGTCTCGCTTTGTAGTCCAGGCTAGAGTGAGTGCCGTGGCATCAGCCTAGCTCATAGCAACCTCAAACTCCTGGGCTCGAGCGATCCTTCTGCCTCAGCCTCCCGAGTAGCTGGGACTACAGGCATGCGCCACCATGCCCGGCTAATTTTTTATATATATATATCAGTTGGCCAATTTCTTTCTATTTATAGTAGAGACAGGGTCTCGCTCTTGCTCAGGCTGGTTTCGAACTCCTGACCTTGAGCAATCCGCCCGCCTCGGCCTCCCAAGAGCTAGGATTACAGGCGTGAGCCACCGCGCCCGGCCCCATTTGATCTTTTGAAAATGTTAAATTTTACTGGCATTTAGTACACTCGTAATGTTGTGCTACCATCACCACTGTCTATATTCAGAATATTTTGTCATCCCAAAAGGAAATTTCATACCTGTTAAATAGTCACTCCCCTTTCTGCCCTACCCCCAGCCCCTGGCTACTGCTAATCTGCTTTCTGTCTCTATGAATTTGCTTGTTCTCGATATTTCCTATAAATGAGTACATAAAATATGTGGCTTCTTGTATCTGGCTTCTTTCACTTAGCATTATATTTTCAAGGTTCTTCTACATTGTATCATGTACTAGTATTTCATGAGAAATTTATTGCTGAATATTTCTTTTTATGGATATACCACATTTTGTTGATCTGTTCCTCAGTTGATGGACATTTGGGTTGTTTCTACCTTTTGGCTATTATGAATAGAGCTGCTGTGAACATTTGTGTACAAGTTTTGTTTGAACACCAGTATTTACTTATTTTGGGTATCCCTAGGAGTGGAATTTCTGGGCCACAGGGTAATTCTATATTCAACTTTTTAAGGGATGACCAAACTTTTCAATAGTGGCTATACTATTTTACATTCCTACCAGCAGTGTATGAGGGTTTGTTTTGTAGCTTTTGAACTCATTTTTCTATTTCATAAGCTGGTCTTAAGGATTTTCTATTTTTAAGCCTGATTCTGCTTAAATTGAATTCATTAACAGCTTTCTTACACATGGTATTGTCCCCTGTTAAGATTTATGTACTCATTCAGAACCTTTTTAGCTCCCCATGCATGACAGTATCAAGAAGTCACTATCTTACAAGCATTTGAGGATCCTTGAACATGTTAACCCTTTTTTCTTTGCTTGCAGTAATCACTGGCCAGCATCGAAATGGTGTAATTTCTGCCCGAACTCGGATTGAGGTTCTTTTGGACACTTTTAGAAGAAAGCAGCCCTTCACTCACTTCCTTGCCTTTTTCCTCAATGAAGTTGAGATTCAGGAAGGATTCCTGAGGTTCCAGGAAGAAGTACTGGAGAAGTGTTCCATGGTAAGCAGCAAACAAAACAAAAAGTTAAAAAAAAATCAAATATAAAAAGAGTATAAAAGTGGTTCATAAATGAAACAATACTCAGAAATGAAACAAAACTCTTCCCCACCAAAAAAGGTAACTATTTCTGATAGTTTCTTGTAATACTGACCTGAAAAAAAGTATAGACGTATTAGTCCATAAATTTCTATATATTACCAAAATATGTTTAAAAATTTTTAATACACAAACGGCTCATCCTAATATATACACTATTCTGCATCTTTTGGGTGGCAGTGTTAATGAGATGCCATTATATGTGGATTTTCTCTTTTCTGGCAGTCATGTTTCATTTGAGGTTAGTAACTAAAAGACAGATTTTTTTAAAAGACAAATTTGCATATAGAATTATCATATAACTGAAATGCTTGTGACTGGAATAATAGCAGGTAATCCAGATTAGAAAACAAGTATTAAAACTCCTTTTGGAAATAATTTTAGTCAATTGAAAAAATTCTATGAAAGCGATATATGTTTATTATAGAAAATTTAGAAAATTCAGAAAAGATTAATAAAAAAATCACCCATAATCCTACCACTGAGAAATACTATTGTGGCATATTATATATACCTGTGCGTATCAATGTGTGCATACATGCATATACATTTAAAAAATAAAATTTAGCTTGTATATGGTCTTATAGTCTGCTTTCTTTGAAACATAGCATTATACCATGAGCATTATTTTGTCAATGAACAGAAACCTAAATCTTTTACCTTTGCTTTGGCGATCAGGTAGGAAATTATAGCAATGATGACTAAAGTAGCCTAATGATTTCATTAACTATTCTGATTACTTGATTTTTTAGTGGTTACTTACTATTCTATTATATGGATGTATAATTATTCAACCTTTATTGTTTCTATTTTCATTATTATACAGAATATTGTTATGAGTATTCTGCATACATTGGCACTAGTCTGATTATTTTTTTACTTAAATTCCTAAAAGTGGAAAAAGAGTATGTGTGTTTGAGTTTTTTGATATGTATATAATCCAAATTATTTCAGGAATATAGCCCTTTATACTCCAAACTATAGTTTTCTTTAGGTTTCTTTTCCCACTTTTGTCAATACTCGGTGTTACTCTTTTAAGATTTTTTTAATAATCTAATTGATAAAATATTAGTTCATTTGCTTTATTGTTTATTTGATTATTTATGAGATTATTTATGAGATAGGACATTTTCATATATTTAATTCTGTTGTTCATGTCTTGGCCTATTTGTCTTTGGGAGTATTCTTTTTTAAAATTTATTTGTAAGAGCTTCATACATGTGTATTAAGAAGATCAGTATTACTTCATAAGTTACATTTAACTTTTTATTTCCTTTGGAATATATTTTGATATATGGTAAGAGGTAAGGCTGTAACTTTTTTAGATCCCTATTTGGTTAACCAATTATCCTCTGAAGAATTAAACTTTTTCAATTTTATCTTTAAAATTATTATACAATAAAATTGACTTTTGGATGTATGTTTCAATGAATAACACATGTTTAGATTTTTGTAACTACCACTACAATTAGGATACAGAACAGTTCTACCCCCAAAACTCCTTCATTCTGTACACTGATCTCTTCCTCACAGTAGTTTTGTCTTTTGGGGAATGTCATATAAATGAAATTGTACAGTAGGTAACCTTTTGAGACTGACTTCTTTCACTCAGCATAATGCCTTTGGGATTCAACCAAGTTGTGTGTATCAGTAGGTCATTCCCTATTATTTCTGAGTTGTATTCAACTTTATGGATGTGCCACCGTTTGCTTATCCATTCACCCACTGGTGGATATTTAGTTTTTTTTCAGTTTTTGGCAATTATGAATAAAACTATAGACGTTTGTGTATAGGTTTTTGTGTGAATGTAAGTTTTCATTTCTTGCAGTAAACACCTAGGAGTAGGACTGCTGGGATATATGTTAGGTGTGTGTTTAACTTTTATAAACTGCCAAACTGTTTGTCAGAGTGCCTGTACCATTTTGCATTCCTACCAGTAATGTGAGAATTCCAATTGCTCTCAATCCTCCATCCTTGCCAGCATTTGGTGTTGTCATTATTTTTTATTTTAGCCATTTTAGGTATGTAGTGACATTCTCTTGTGGTTTTAATTTGTGTTTCTCTAATGGCTTATGATGTCGAACATTTTGTTATATGCTTTTTTTTTTTTTTTTTTTTGAGACAGGGTCTCACTCTGTCCCCCTGGTTAGAGTGTAGTGGTGTCATCATAGCTCATTGCAACCTCCAGCTCCTGGGCTCAAGCAATCCTCCTGCCTCAGCCTCCTAAATATCCAGGACTACAGGCATGCACCACCGTGTGCAGCTAATTTTTCTATTTTTGGTAGAGAAATGGTCTCACTCTTGCTCAGGCTAGACTCGAACTCCTAGCCTCAAGCAATCCTCTCTCCTCAGCCTCAAAAAAGTGTTAGGATTACAGGTGTGAGCCACTGCACCCTGCCCTGTCATGTATTTTTTTTGCCATCCTTATATCCTGTTTGATGAGGTGTCTGTTCACATCTTTTGCACATTTTAAAATTGAGTTGTTTTCTTGCTATTGAATTTTTAGAGTTCTTTTTATATAATATGGATTTAAGTCCTTTCAAGGATATGTGATTTGCAAATATTTTCTTCCGATCTGTAGCTTGTCTTTTCATTCTCTTACCAGTGATGAAGTCCTGTTTATTAATTTTTTCTTTTATGGATTGTACCTTTGATGTTATGTCTAAGAACTCTTTTCCTAACCCTGAAATATGAAGCTTTTCTCTTATATTTTCTTTTAGAATTTTTATAGTTTTGCCTTTTTATATTTAGCTCTATGATCTAGTTAATTTTTTTTTTTATGAGGTGTGAAGTTTAGTTCAAGGTTCTTTTTTTGCTTATGTTTGTCTATGCTGTGCTTTCTTGATATTGTAGTGAACAGAGAAATAAAAGCATTTGGAATAAAATAAAATAGCGGTTTATGTCTTTGGTTCTTGAAACTGATGACTTAGATCTGATTCTGGGTTCCTTGATCTGTGTGGACTTGGGCAAATGAACTTCTCCAAATCTTTACAGCCTACTTGTGAGGATTGTAGGAAGGATTAAATTAGATAACATAAAGTACTTAGTATGGTGCTTAATACATAAAAGCATTTAATAAATGGTAGCTGCTACTCTTGCTGTATTTACTGCTAGTTAGGTTGAAGTTGATAGTATTTTTTGTAGTGTGAAGAGTAGATGAAGGCTAGCGTTGATAGTTGTGGGCTATGTCAGTGGAAATGTTTTGGCTGAAAAATTTTAAAAGATTCCTCCCTCCCACCAATCCTCCCTCCCTTTCTTCCTTTCTTTTCCTTCTTTTTTTCCTTTCCTTTCCTTTCTTCTGTCCTGTTTGTATTGCTAAAGCTGGTCTTAGGTGTTAGAATATGGTGAGAGAGAGATATACAAGTATAGAAGTATTAGAAACCAAGTACTTTTGTGGAGCAAGAGGTGAAAATTGGTAAAATTGATTATTTGAGAAGGATGTTATGACAGTGAATAGATTCAGATTGGGCAAATAATGAGAGACAGCCTGGACTTAGTATAGAATTGTATAACCCATTTTTAAATAACTAACTTGGTATTTATATGCTTAAATAAGGTCATATGTTTAAGTCAAATACTCAAATATATATGTGGATGTTATGTCAGAACATCATTTTTCTCCTTAACATTTCATAGCAAGATGATTTCATTCTCGGTGGGAATGGAGTGTAGTAGAGATCAGGAACACTGAAGTTTCAGTATAGGCTGGTAATTTTGAGGGTAACAGGAGCTGGTAAGTTTTGAAATTATTATTATTACTTTAGAGATAGGATCTTGCTCTGTCACCCAGGCTGGAGTGCAGTGGTGTGACCATAGCTCATTGTAATCTTGAACTCCTGGGCTCAAGCAATCCTTTCACATGGCTAGAACGACAGGCATGTGCCACCATCCCCCACTAATTTTATTTTAAAAATTATTTTACCTTGTGAATATCAACTAGTTGAAGCTCAGTCATTGTATATATTCTTTGGAATGTTACAAATACCTTATATAAGACAAACAGATTGTAATTATCGTGTGTGTGTGTGTGTGTGTGCGTGAATGTGTATACACACTTACATTAACTTTCTCACTTTTCTTTTGGCTGCTGATAAGGGCTGGCAGGGAACAAATATTGGAATTACAACTTTAATTTGGCCGGAATGAGATTGTCTGCCATGAATGTCATGATAGCCTTAATCAGTCCAAAGTATTTCCTTCCTACTTTCAGGGAGACTGCATACAGACATAGGCTTAATAGCCTCCTTCCTGCCATTAAGTTAGGCCCTGATAACAGCTGGAAATAAGCATCACATAAAAGAGGAAATAAGTAAGGGACCGTTATCTATATTATATGGAAGAGATTTTTAGTTAAGTTTCATTCTGGTGTTAGAATGACAGGCAGATGGCTTTGAAAGCCTGTAGTCATTTTCTAGTAGTACTCTGTATTTATGACCAGTTTAAGTGAGTTTCCTTCTGGAAGCTTTAAAGAACGTATACCTGTTGGAATTGTTTCCTGATAGACTGTGTGATGGTATTCAGTCTTGGTTTGGTACCTCTGAAACTCATTTGACATCTCTGATAGAGTTTCCTCATCTCTAAAATAGAGATGGTCTCAACATTCCTTTGCTTAATAACATAGGAAAAAGATAACATCTCTTGGTACAGAGTTGGCTCATAAATTTTTTTGAGTTTACATATGAGTTTGTTATATACATTTGTTAGCCGGGTGCAGTAACTCACACTTGTAATCCCAGCTACTCAGGAGGCAGAGGCTGGAGGATCCACTTGAGTCCAGAAGTTCGAGGCTAGCCTGGGCAATATAACAAGACCTCATCTCTAAAAAAAAAAAAAGTTATGTTATACACTGTTTTGTAATTACCTTATTTACTTAATAATGTGTTTCAGGTCCATACATAAGAATC